CCATCTGCTTCTATAACAGGGCAACGCAAATGATATGTGGTCTACAGATAATTAGTATTCTGTTGTAATTTCTAATTATGATCACAGGTTACTTCCTTGCAGGTATCTCAGAATAAGTCTCAGGCCATCTGGATTCCTAAGAGAACCCCACGCAGGCTGGTTTTGCTGATCAAGCTCTTCCTGCTTTTGGTTCTCCTTGAAGGGCAAAGCACCATCTGTACTTGAGGAAATCTTATCATCTTGATGGTAAACTTTCCTGATGGAGGCTATTAAAAAGGTTAGCTCCCTGGAAATCAAGCAAGCGTTTTCTCCATGGTACTCCCTGGCTTCCTCTTGGAAAGAGTATTTCTGGCCAGGTGCCGTGGCTCACACTTGTAATCCCAGCACTTTGGGAGGCCAAGACAGGTGGATCACCTGAAGTCAGGGGTTCGAGACCAGCCTGGCCAACATGGTGAAACCCCGTCTCTACTGAAAATACAAAAAATAGCCAGGCGTAGTGGTGGGCACCTGTAATCCCAGCTACTGGGGAGGCTGAGGCAGGAGAACTGCTTGAACCCAGGAGGCAGAGGTTGCATTGAGCCAAGATCGCATCATTGCACTCCTGCCTGGGTGACAAGAATGAAACTCCAGCAAAAGAAAGACTGTATGTTGGGAAATACTACTTCTGCATTTTTTAAAGATGAGGCCTTCCTGTGGCCAAATGTCTGGGGAACACTTGCATGCTGTATTAGCAAAGTAAAGGCTCGACAACTAAGACAGCTTCTTAACATACCCTTTCCCCAAATAATACATATTGAGACTAGAGTTCTCCAGAACTCCGTGGGCTGTTCCAAGTGCAGCTTAACAACAGTTTCAAAGCAGCTAAGCAGGGGCTGGAAGACAAGCCCAGGACCTTTTGCTACGTTTAATTCTTTGCCATCTGTTATATCGGGAATCATCCACACACACATTCCCAAAAAGATTCACAGCCATTCCACGTTCTGGCTATAACCTCAGTTCCGTTTTCATCTGCTGACTCTGGAAATCTACGTCCGTTTCTAATGATCACAGATCATAGGAGACACAGTGGCTCAGTTTCCAGCACACATTCTATCCTTCTACTGTGCCCACCTGTCCTGCAGAAGATGGGAGGCTAAGGCCAACTCTCAAACTCCCTGCAGCTACAGTTCCAGATATGATTTAGGTTGAGCCAGTTAGATGTGCTTTTGTGAAATTCAGAACACCAAAGTGAGGCAGAGACCACATTTTGGCAGCAGCTGCCATTTGCTCAGCAAGCAAAGTCCAAGAAGCACCTGGTTCTTCTATGACAGTTTTAGCCAATGTTGCAGCATCCAAGTACCAGCTTCGTGGGTTCCAGGAGGCAGGACCAGGACATCATTTGCAGGTGCTGATCATAGCAGATGTGGCATGGTTTTAGAACCATAAGAGTCATGGCTTCCTGATTGTAGTATGCTCTCAATTGTGGCTGTTGCAATGTGGTTCTGGAGAAATGGCTTCATCTGTAGGAGGGGCACAGCTTCCTTGGTGGTCTAGTTCTGCAGCATGGTTCCAAGGTACTTATTCCTGAAACTGCCACCTAGAGACCTTTGTCTTCAGAACTCTTAATAGTTCTGTTAAGTCATTTAATTCCTTATAATAAATCCCTTCTTCAAATTTGCTGTAGTATATTCTGCTTTTTATAACTGAACCTCGACCCACACCCTAACTCAAGCCGTGTTCCAGCAAGGATGATCTAGCTTCTCAGTCTCACCTTGACGGCTGTGGAATTTCAGACATAGATCACTATCTATTGTCCAGCTAAGTGGGAAGCCTTCTGCATATGATTGATTGTGGCCAAAATGCTAAGAGTATAACCTGCAAAGCTGGGCTTTCTGCAAACCAAGCATGCATCATCCTGGGTCAGATCCATACGGAGGCCCTGCCTACCAGGCAGGAATGAGGCTAAAATCCTGGAGGAGCAACACTGTTATAAGCCACCACAGACAGACACCATATAAAAAGCCAGGCATCAGAGTTCACAAGAAGGAGCAATACTCCTGGGCTCTAATTACATGTTACTTAAACTCTGAGTTTCTGACCCAACACCATACTGCCACATGAGGCTAGTGACATCATCCACCTCATACAAGGATAGGAAAGAACTTGAGAGTAGACCTGAAAGGTCTTCGGAAAAAAAGTATTCTAGTAAAGAATGGCATTTATAACTACTACCGTTATTACTAGCGTTCAAGAATCATAACCAAGAAGAGAGGGACCTTTTCCCACACTTTTAAAGATACTTGCTAAGTCTTTAATACTTATAACTTTTCAGCATATTGGCATTTAAAGAAAAAGGTTTATGAGCTTCATAAAAAATCAGCGAAGTGCAATGCTTCCTTTAGATTACAGCCAAGCGTTGGAAAGGTTTTAAAAAGTCATTTGACTTCAGTGTTGTCAAGACTCATTGCAGGGTTACTGTTATCATGTCAGTTGTATTTTTGTGCTGTTCTCCAACATGGCTGGAATATTTCCTGTACCCACGTAGTTAGGTAGTTCTGGATTTTTATTGTTGCTGTTTATGTTTAAGCAAGCCTGTTGCTTCACTTTTTAATGCAACAGAAGTCAGCATGGTAGGTTTACTGCTAGCATTAAAATGCCAAGTCCCCTCTAAGCAAATCCTCTTCACACAATCTCAAAGTGTGCTCTAAAATAGCCAGATAGCCATGAGCAGGGATTCCCAGGAAGAGACAGAACAGGCAGGAAAGCAGGCGGCAGCCAGACACAGGCTAAGGAGCTCAGAGTGGGAGTGGGTTAGGAATTGGGACAATTGACAGAGAGGAAACGAGAGTCACCTGCAGCCAGAGCGCCCTGGCTGAGGACAGTTCTGCAAGCACCTCACCATGAGGTCTAGGGCCAAGAACAGAAATTGTCCAGCATGTGAAGCCCAGAGCTCATGGCCAGGACAGGTAAAGGTTCCACCTGCCAGGAAGCACTGGGTCAGTGGCAAGACGCCCAGGTAGGACTCTTGAAGAGGAAGTGGAGGAGCAGGATGCCACCGATCAGGGAGTCCAATGGGAAAGATTTGGATTCTGGGGAAGGGTGGGTCCAACATTCTTTACAAACCTGATTCTTGGATTTACATTGTTAAAAGAGCCTTCATTAAAAAGCAATTCCATGGGATTTCTCCGAGACTCCTTCATGCATTTAAAATAAGATTTTGCTTTATAAATTATCTTACACACACATTTTGGGAAAATAACAAAAATCAAAGCACCTCAAACCCACAAATCTGTGGATTTTCTTAACCACGAGAAAATCCATTTTACACTGCAATATGAAATCGTAGGAGTTGCCCTAACCCCCAAATATTCACTTTAGGATGAAGTGTTTGCTTCTCCAGCTAAAGCAAGAGAACTAAATCCTATTTGTTGTCAACAACAGTCAGAGAAATTTGGCTGGGCTATGACTATGCACTGTCCAAATAGCCATCCGGGCCAGAGGCAATCAGACAGATATATTAATTCATGTAGATTAACTTTTTAAAATGAAATGGGCCAGGCTTGCGTAGGAAGACATGTTTCAAAATATACACAGCCACTCTCTCTCTCCAACCCAATTAATAGCAGCGACTTCTTCCAAGGACACTGGAGAAGGAGCTGCAAATATAAATGTCCCAGGCAGAAGGTCTGAAAGCAAGGCCTTCTGAAGAGAGCTTTGCTCTGTTCCCTAGGGTCGAGGAAAAAAAAAAAAAAAAAAAGGAAGCTTTGTCAGGTCTCTTCCCTCCAGACATACACATCATTTTATTTGGAAGTCACATGGTGTGATTAAATTTAACTGGGTGGAGCAGTGGAAAACCACAGTATTAACAACATAATTCTTTTTGGGGAAGGATTCATTCTGCCAAACCCAAAAGATAATTCTGAAAGCTCCAAGCCACTAGCTGCTTTCAACATTTGTTTTAAATCCAGAGAGACCAAGTTTTAAGAAGTATACCTCTGCTCATCGTGGCATTGTTTCTAATAACCAAAATACTGAAAACTTCCTGGATTTTCATTTGGACTCTTGGCAATAGAGATATATATATATATATATATGGACCACATATAATAGATCACATGCAGCTTATGTAATCAGACATGTGTCTGTGTCCATGTGCATGTACACAGGTGCAATTTCTAGAAGGACACAGAAGTAAGCAGAAGTCATCTCTGGGGAGTAGAACTGGTTAAGGAAAGGGCGTCTTTCGCTCTTCACCTCTCTGTGCTGGTTGAATTTTTACAACGAGCAAGTCTTACTTCCATAAATTGGAAAAACTAGCCATGAAAACATTTTTTAAAAATCACTTTAGGAGCCCACAGGCCAGGAACCTCTGAAGAGCTCATTGTTGACTGGCTCAGTTACCAACAAGCTGTAGAGGTGGAAACGTTTTACAGCTGCAAAATTTCTTGCAGTTTACAAGGCATACGCTAACTCCCTTCGTTCCCATAACATCATCAAAGGTGTCGAGACAAGACACTTCCTGCCACAGTTACTGCTCCCATTTTACCTCCACAGAAATGGGGGCTTTAGAGGCTAGAGGACTTGCCTAAGACCACAGGAGTTGCAGAACAGAGAGATCTGGACTTGAACCCAGGCCTCTTCCTCACCACCATACTGCTGTCATGCTGTGAACCCTGGACACGTCACTTCTGGTTTTGGTTTACCCAGCAACAAAAGGGAGGCTTTATCATAGGTATCCTTTCCCCAAGTGAGTCAACAGTAGCACTGCTATTTTATCAAGGAGGAAACTGAACTCAGAGGTTGAGTAACTTGCTCAGGGGCAGAACTTGAACTCAGAACCCTCTCGCCCCACCTCCAGGCTGAGATGCCAGGCCTCTCCAGACGTTCCCCTCCACCTGAAGTAGTGCTGGTTTCAGAACCCAGATGTTCACAACAATCCTGGTTGTTTGCAAAAACAAGTATTCTAAAAACTGTGACAGGGAGGGGCTGGATGACAGTCCACAACGCCACCCACTCTCAAGGCAGTTGCTAAAAACCCAGCTCTGTGCCCCAGAAGGCCTTGGGCAGTCTCAAGGATTCTGAGTGACTCTGTAATAAGGGAAAAACCTCAGCTCTGCAACGCATTGATAATGTGGGAAGCAAGCTCCAAGAACTCCTAGGATTTCTCCCCAAAGCCCAAGCCCCTCCCGAGGCAGAGAGAAGGGAGTTTCCCACACACTCTTCTGCCTGTGTGTGACCCATACCCTGTTCCCATAGTGGCTGTGCAGAAAGGACATGCCAGCCCCGTTTGCCCTTCCTTCCAGTGTGACAGGGAGGACAATCCCTTCCTAAGGAACTGACAGACATGATGTAGGGAGTGTAGCATGGCATGGTAGCTGTGCGGACTCAATCTCAGCACAGGCATGAGAATAACTGTAAATGTGTAAGAACTATAGTATACACTGAATGCCACCCACTCCAAAAAGGCAAAACCCCACCCAGATGAGGAAGAGGAAGGGACCCGTGAGGCTGGCGCTTGTGGAGAAGGGTAGCTCTGCCCTGCCTGTGCCCCCAGCACGATGGGGAACTCACCTCTAGGAGCCTTCTCGACTCTGTGCCTGGCTCCTGCAGGCCATCAGACACTGGCCACAGTTATGCCAGCAGCAGGGGCTGAAGCGGGCTCCCCCTGGGTCTTCACCCACACCACGGGCCAGCCAAGAGTCATCCCTACAGGGCGCCTTGCAGTCCTCTCTGGATTGCGCTGCAGCCCTACAGCTTTCCGACAATGCAAGTTCAGTGACCAGTTAATCTCCACAAAATCCAAATCCATATTTGGCTCTATTCAAGAGCAATCTGTTTCAGGTAGTCCTCAAACGGCAGCGCTGACATGCAGTGAATACACAGAATGGCTGGCTGGAGGAATGAGAGTCAGTACCTCACAGAAGTACTACAATGTGAATTTGAATATAGGAGACTTTTTTCTCTTTTTTTACCCAACTAAAATTTAAGCCCAGAGTGCCAAGTATTTGAGCAGCGACTGGCTGTCGCCACTCACTACTGCAGAGTGTGGTTTCAGTCCGGCTTTGCCAGATGAACACGTGTCAAGCCTCTGCATTTCCGAGGCAGCGGCCAGCATTATTAGCTTCCAAGTCCTTTTGAAGGGAGGCTGCTTGCTTGTCCTGCCAGAGGTGATGACAGAAGCCAGAGCTTCCCTGGAATCACCAGACTCGGAGGTGCCACGTGAACATTTAAGCAACGTTGACTGCAGGCCCAGAGGGGCAAGTGGAATCAGATTCCAGCTCTTCAGGCAGGCTCCTTTCTGCTCCCTGTCTTCTCGGTCCTTCTCTTCCATTGGTGAACAGGCCTCCAGGGTCAAGGAGTAATTGAGAATAGGCCAATTTTCTGAATAGCTCAGGAAAGAAAAACACTCAAATATAACCGTAAGAAAAAGCATCTAGGAGAACGCCAATCAGCCACTGTTTATTCTGCAGCAACGATTTTCCAAACATCATTTTTCTCTGGAGTAGTTGAACTCAAGTCCCTAAGACATCTTTGAATTTGTCAATCCCAGCAATGGAAGAGGACCCAGTACCACAGAGTAACTCATCCAATGAAACTTCAGACTACTATGAGACTGTGGACAATGGAGCAAAGATGCTGCATTAACCCACGTGTGATGCCTGAGTACAAATATTATTAGCAACCCACACGCAGAACTACATGGCTACAGGAGATACTTCAGCTGTCTTGGAGGACAGTACCAAGAGACAACTGACATGAAAACAAAGGCGCTGAAACTTCACAGCTTCTACATGGAGGTATGTCACCATGGCATCCTCAACGAAACCCGGCCCCCACACATTAGCTACAATATCATGAGATCGGAAGGAAAACATGTAGGTGAGACAAGTCGCCAAAGCAGAACAAACTACTGTAACACGTGTCGTATTTTCATTTCTACACTTGAAAAATATTAACTCATGCTCAGCTTGTGCCTTTCTACAGAAACACCCTTCCCCTCTGGTCAGTCAGACCTGACAGATCAGCATTTTGGAAACAGCCCATAAACCCAATGGAAGGCAGGAAAATGTTGCCTTAGACTATTGTCCTGACAACACACAGAGCTCCACGTGCTCCCGCAGTCTTCGAGGTACCACTGAGCTTCTAGTTTCTAGTTAACCGCACAACTACACATAACCCTGGGCAGCCCTGGGCAGCTAGTTACAATTCAATCTTGTCCCTTCAATAGTAAAGAGTAAGATTAAGGACACAGAGCCAGAAGGGCTGTTTGCAACTTGGCTCTATCTCATGTTGTGTGACTTAGGCAAGTGAGTCCATCTTGCTGGGCCTTAGTTTCCTCATCTGTAAGATATGGGCATGATTACAGCACCTACTACATAATGACGTCAAGATAATTAAAATCCTTCTTGGGGAAGAGTAAGCACACGTAAGAGTTGGCTATTCTATATTTAGAGCATATTAAGGACCAATGAAGCACTTTGAATACAAAAACTTTTCATTGCAATCACTATGTTTATAAATTTTTGACTTGGATACTTAAATGTTAAGTACCACTATATCCAAAAATAGTAATGAGGCCTAGAAATTCTATTTAAAATGTGTCCACCTAAGTGTTTTAAAATGTGTCCACCTGGATTGCAACACTTGTGTCACCCTTTGTTTTTCAGCCTGTACAAGACTAAATTAGACACAGCATGTTCTATATATGGATTCCCTTAATTTCATGGCTCTGCTTCTCCAGACAGACACTACAGAGCAGGAGAAGGTGGGCTCATTAAGATACCAGCTGCAGGCCCTGAGGGCAAATGCACCCTGAAATCTTGAAAGAGTTGTTCTGAGTCCTTACTATTTAGTTCTTTCTTACTGATCTATGATAATGAAAGCGACAAGTAGTGCTTCTTAATAGGACTGTACTCAAACCACGGTAGTCCTTGGTTTCTGGCCAAACCCTATACAAATACTCTGCTGCATTCTTTCCTAGAGACCGGATATTTATTGTGCACCTACGATGAACTAGCCACTGTGTGAGGCACTGGTATACATATACTCCTGCTCTTACATAGCCATCCAGGGAGTAAACAGATTGTCTTAATAAAAAATATACATAAAATTATAAATTGAGGTAAATGCCAAGAAGAAAAAAATCAAGGTTATAAAAGTGTAAAACAAGGAGACCTAGTTAAGATTGGGCCTGGCCAAGTCTCTGTAAGAGGTGATATTCAAAGTGAGTCCTCCATTTCTCATACTACAAGTAGAGCTACCATATAATCCACCAATGCTACTATGGGGCATTTATCCAAAGGAAAGAAAACCATTATATCCAAGAGACATCTGTATCCCTCTCCTCATGTTTACTACAGCACTAGTCACAATGACCAAGATATGGAATCAACTAATCTGGTAACAGATTAATGGACAAAGAAAATGTGGTACATCGACATAACAGAACACTCTTCAGCCATAAAAAAGAATGAAATCTTGTCATTTGCAGCAATGTAGATGGAACTGGAGGACACTATGTAAAATAAGCCAGGAGCAGAAAAGTTAAGCGCTGCATGCTTTCACTCATGTGGAAGCTAAAAGAAGTTGATCTCCTAGAGGTAAAAGGAGAAAAAAAGATGCTAGAGACTGGGAAGGGTAGGGGGAAGAGGGTATTGGAAGAGATTTGTTAAAGGATACAAATCACAGCTAGGTTAGAGGAGTAAATTCTAGCATTCTATGCCGCTGTAGGATTAATATCATTTCAAATAGCTAGGAGTAGGATATTAACCTTCCCAACACAAAGAAATGATAAGTGTTAGAGATTGTGGATATGCTAATTATCCTGATCTGATTGCTATACAATATATGTATCAAAACATTACCAGTGCCCTGTGAATATGTATAATTGAAATGGGAAATTTCCCTTGACCCTTTCACAGGCCTTGTGACAGGAGTGTCTCACTCACTCCGCCCACAGCTCTCAATTCCTCGTGGGAGGGGAAGCAGGCTGGTGAGAGGGTACAGGAGCCAGAGCAAGTTACTTTGGATGATAGCAGGAGCAAAATTCCATGCAGGCCCCACGGCAGCATCCGTCAGGGAGTACCCACAACCCCAGAAGCCCAGGGGGCATGTGTCACAGGAAGTGCTCTTTTAGCTTTGCCATCTGTGGACAGCTTAAGTGTTTAACAGCTCAGCGGACCCTCCACCTTTTTGCAAGGGCAGAAGGTCAGTGTGACCACTTTCTGTAACCTGAGCTCTTGTCCAGGGTCCAGGAAAAATCAGGTCATGTGAATGAATTCAAGGATTGTAAATGTGGGGAATTTTACTGCCAATGGAAGTGGCTCTCAGCAGGAAAGGGAGCTGGAAAGTGGATGGAGTGGGAAGATATTCTTCCCCTGAAGTCTGGCTGTCCCAGATGGACTCTTCTAGCCACCAAAGTCACGCCATCAAGCTGTTTCTTTGAAGTCAAGCTGCATCTCTCTGATGTTCAGCTGCTTCTTCTCTTTTCCCCTTCTTTGCTCTCCATCAGACGAGCTCGGGGTTTTTATGTGCAGGATGCAGAGGCAGGGTGGGCTGGGGTGGCTTTGGAAAAGGCAATATTTGAGCAGGAAAACAGGAATGTAAAATCTCCCTTTGGGCTGTGGTTTCAGGCTTGAGAGTGGGGCCCCCGCCAGGGACCCTGCCCTTTTCTGCCTACAATTGATCTGCCTCCTGTCCCTATCATAATTATTTTATGTCAATTTAAAAAGATGTCTACAACAGGCAAATCCACAGAGAGAAAGTTGGTTTTAAAAAAGACAGCAAGAGCAAAATTTGCTTTTCAATTGCCAGCATGAAGAGAAATGCAGCAAATACTAATGAAATAGATTGAGAAAAATAAGTGCATCTTTTGAAGCTAAACATATTTCATTGATTGTTCTTTATTATATCTTTGGCATTAAAGCTTTTTATTCTGCTGTTTTACAAAAGCGAGATCTCTATCTCTGACAATGGCAGAGCAGGTTATTTGAGCCAACTATATCACTAAAAACAATCTCCCCCC